TATAGGGTTGCATTTTGGTTGAAGCATGTCATCGCTCTGTATGAGAGGCGGATTGAGTGTGAATATATTTCAAGAATTGAGAGGGTCAAACATGCTCTTTTTTGAGGGATTAGAGATGTTTTTTGGACTGGTGTAATTAGATGGGTCTGGGGTATATGAGACACTATTTCTTTTCTTTTTTGGGTTGATGTCTCTATGCTGGCTCATTTTGAGTTTCTAGTATAGAGCTCCCACATGCAGGTGTTCTCAGCAGTCGCACGGTGCAGTGGCTAGTATGAGATTGTTTATTTTTTGGGAGATTGAGACAGAGATGTGGCAGTGTCATGCCAACTCATGTGCGAGTGGGAGATGTTAGTAATGGGCGCCCATGTGGCATGACCATTTGAACATAATTTGGATCTTATCCAAATAGGTTTTGAATTAAATTCAAACCTATTTAGGATAACCACTCAGGATATAGATATTATCAGTTTTAACTGATATGGATAAATAATAATAATATAATATATATCTGATATATGGTTATGGGTAACCCAAGAGAGAAACAACGTAGGTTTTGTTTTTCAACCCATAAACTGACTCTCTCCCAAGAAACAACGATCAAGTCATTTTGCACTGTGGTTTGTGTGGGTGATATTCACCATTGTAATATCACCCCACTGCTGGGATTGATTGATTAGATTCTGGAAGCACGTGATTTATCCATGAGGTTTTAGATCGAATCAGGTATGATCTAAACATTTTATTCCGCTGCAAGTTTTGTGATCTATGATTTACAAGTCTCATAACACCATATGCCATTATTTTTATACTAACTGCAAAACGCACTATGTAAGTCGTTCTTTATCTCCTAACTACCTAATAAAGATGAGTTAAAATTATTCCACCCGTAAAGATTTATACACGTGAACAATATTAGATAGTATTCTAGAACTACTAAATAATCACCACTTTTACCTTACCAGTAGACATCATTTCCATTATAGTTAAAGCATTAAAATCAACAAAAACATTCCCATTATAGTTAAAGCATTAAAATCAACAAAAACATCAGGAATTACCCCTAAAAGAAGTCCTATTGCCCCTTTAACTAGATAAGGGGAACTTAAGATTCTACACAGTGATTTATGATGGTATGCTTTTCAACTTCCATAATTCCATAAAATGAGGCAAATTAAAAATATATATATATCCTAGAAAGACAAGGCACAGAAAAGGGTTCGGAAGTCTGGAGGCAGGGCTCACGACCGCGACTCTGAAACTTCTGAACGAGTACATTATGCAACATCACCAAGCACTCAATCGGTGACGTCTGAGTCTTAAGGTCGGTCAAAAATGGGGTGTCTACACTTTTCAACTTCCATAATTCCATAAAATGAGGAAAATTAAAAATATATATATATCCTAGAAGATTAATGCATGTACTATGGACATCTAACAATGTAAAGAAATCTAGAATAAATCATGATTTATCTGATCAGTAAATCAGACCACAGTCTAAACCCTTTAAAAACTGTCATTTGCCTTCCCATAGAGAAAGCATCAATCTTCAAATCTCACAATATGGAAAGCAGCTCTAAACAATCTTGAACACAAAAAATTTTCTACCACCGTAGGCATCGACAAATCTTCTTCTTCTTCGATTTCATAAATTAGCTTCAATTTAAAATAGGATGCCCTGTGATTACAAACTAGGAGCCAGATTGCTGCTAAACTGCAATACAAAAGCCAAAAAAGTGTGTCAAGAAACAGTTACAAGTCCTCGTTTATATAGATTCGTACATAAGCAGTTGAAGAGAATCAATCTTAAATGATAGATATTTTAATAGAATAATTTAAGTTATTACTAGAGTGATTCATGACTGCATCAATGATCAATCTTGCATGTCACAACTAATTGTGGCTTTGGAATCAAATCTTATTTATTGTTAACCTAATAATTTTTTCAATCAAGTTCAAATCCCATTAGCTACATGTAAAATGTGATATCTTTTGTTGAAGAAGCTGCAGTGAAGCATTCCGATGGGTTTAATTTTTCTTTTATCAAGAAGGCACCTTAAAGCTACATTCATTGCCTTTAGAGGTTGAAAGAGATTCATGCTTTGAGGAGTCCAATCCCATTTAGTATATATGGTAGGATTTATTTACAAAATATTATCCAAGATGTTATCAATCAGATTAAAGAAGGTACTTTCAGAAGTTATTAGTGAGCCACAAGCTACCGTTGTGGGATAGTGTTTAAAACTGATTTTTAAAAAGGCGTATGATCATGTTAATTAGCCCTTTTCCTTATTGGATATGCTTGAAAAGTGTCGTTGTGTGACTTGAGAAAAGACTGACATACCTAGGCAATCAAAAGCAAAGACCCAATAATCAATCATAGGGAATTTTTTTTTTTTTAAAAAAAAAGATCGTTAAATATGTTTGTCCTTCAATGGATTGGGGACATTTCTAATTCTAAAAAAGAGGAATTACAGCTGAAAAACGTGTTACCTGTTTTACTATAATGCTAAGGAGGCCATCATCCGACGAACTGCTGCTATTATTGTGATGGCTCTTGATTTCTCTTTCTGCATTATTCTCAAAGGGATATCGATGCTGCACAAACTGCCCTTTTCGGATTGAGTCATCTGTGATTTGTTGCATGTCAAATGGAAAGTTAATTGGTTCTTCTTTTACTTTGAGATTAGCTAAATTTCTTTCTTCATGTTGCCCTGAAATTGGAAAACAACAGAATGATGAGCTCTATAAAACTCAAAATTGTTCACTCAGTACATATATATATGTAGCTGACTTAATATCCATACCAAGTACAAGAACAATAAAAACAAAGCAAAGACAGTGTCTACTGAAACTCCATGAATCAAAAATTTATTAAAGGAAGAAACCCTTTTGTTTTAAGTGGACATACAGTGAAATCTACTCTCAAATTTAAGTATAATAATTGATATAACATTCTTATTTTATGGTCTGAAAGCTTGAAATTCTGTCAATTTATAGAATTATTTCAATTTTGGTTTCATTGATGTAGGAGGGGACAAAGAACAAATTAGCGAAATACTAAAAACCAAACAGAGTTCAATGATATTGGGGAACAAAAATAAAAAGAAATATACCAAACAGAAAGATAAAGGGTGGATAACTAACATGGAAGCAGCATGGCAAGAGAATCAGGTTGAGAAACTGGATTCAATTGATTTGAAGCATCTCCAAGCATTTGAAAAGGAACATCGTCAAGGTTGAAGGCTGCAGGAGGGCATGAATATGGCCCAAAGCTAACAGGCATACTGCTTGGACCAGATTGTCCTGTGTTAAAGCTAGGAAGATAAGAAGAAGACATCTTGACATTGTCATCAAACATCTTTGTTCTCGAATTAACAGAGTGAAACCTCATCCTATTAAATTCATGATGGGGAGATGGATTTGCCGCAAAAAACTGAGATGGAGGGACAGTTCCAAAAACGGTTGGGCGCATTTGATCTGCTACTACTTTGGGAGGTAGTTGGTTTTGTTGGAGGAGTTTTGCATTTGATGTAGAAGCACCAAATGTTTGAAGTCGGCTACCAAATGAGGTGATCCCAGTACTCATGTCTTGTTCTGCAAATCTATTGTGATGATTGATGGTGTTTAGGCATTGATCAATACAAGATGTGGTGATTGTATCAGATAGAAGCCCATTTGTTCTGTTTGAATTGATATTGTTCTCTCTTTCTTGGCTCATTTTAGCTTTTGTGTTCTCCTTCCTTAAGGCATTTTTGTACTTCTGCAATCAAGAAAAAGGAGTATCAAAAAACAAACAGTTAAATAATCACAGTTTAGTTTCACTTGCATTACATATCTGACTAGTCCATGATGCAGGATATAGAAAACAAAGGACTTATAGCCCAGAATGCCATGTTGGAAGCTTGATGGAAAGACCAAACTCACCCGAAGGTGGTTAGCAACACTTTCTTGAGAGATCATCGGTTCATTCATGATTTGGAGTATTTCCTTTGCAACTGCTTCTGCAAAGGTACAAAACCACAGACCCAATAATGTTAGGATACACCCCAATACATACTTTTACCTTTGTCATGTTTGTGTGATATTAGCAACTAAGCTAGTGCAAGGAGCAAGGTTTTACATAGTGGTATCGAAAGACGATTAAGTATGGATTACAGTGTAACCTTATTGGAAGTATCAAGCCATATGTATTGGGAATCAATCAAGTGTATATTTTTTAAGCTTGTAAAGTAAAATAAAATGAAGATCCAAGACTTACTATCCACTCCTAGCTGCCGAACAGCATCGACAAACTTGTTATGCAACACTACAGTCCAACTAACCCTCTTCTTCTTCTTCTTCTGAGCAGATGGGTTTTGATCTGTTCCTGCTTGCACAATGCCAGATTTCATTGTATTAAATAGGTTTTGCCGGACCACATGCTGCCAAATATTCTTCACTTCTGCCAACCTAAGTGGCTTTATCAGGTAGTCTCGAGCTCCATGCCTTACCCCCTTCAACACCGATTCTTTGTCATCATTTGCAGACATCACTGCAATTCCAAACTTATGTTTACGATTTAATCTCATCCAAGTTAATGTATACTGATTAAGAAATGATGAGCTTACTTATTACTGGCATGTCCATTTCAAGGCCTATTATCTCCAAAAGCTCGAAACCGTTCATGTCGAGCATTATAACATCGGTAATCACAATATCATAGCTTTCTTTGTTCTTCCTCAACATTTTAAGAGCTTCTGTTGCTTTTGTTGTCGCCGTAACTACATACATATCAAAATGCATAAAATTTAGGAATAAATAGGCCTAACAGTTCAATGACCCTTTCAATAGTCAAGATTTATGTATCTCTGCTCTCTAGAGTAAGGAATGTAGTTTTAGAAAAAATTCTATGAAATAGTGCAATAAATTCTATTTGTTTGGCTTTATATGTTTTGATTGAACTCCCTATGAAAATTTTGTAAGAGTAACTAACTAAAAATATTGAAATATGAAATAAAAATATTGGAAGACGTGATTTCTGCCTAATCCCCAAACTGTAAAATTCAAATTCATTTTGTGCTTTTATAACTGAGAACTAGTCAGACCCACAATAATGGTCAATGTTAGGGGGAACGCTATTTTGACCATTGTAATAAAATAAACATTATTTTTAATTTTGTCAATTTAAATCATAAAATTTTTATTTCTTTTTCAATCTAAACCATCTACCTTCCTTTTTCTGATAAGTAAAATCAATGAAAAATATGATATTTTAGTCATTAAAATCAACAAAAAAAAAAGTACATTGAGTTTAATGACTAAAATATTATTTTTTTCATCCGTTTTACTTAACAAAATAGGTTGATGGTTTAAATTAAAAACAAATTAAATTTTAAAATTTAAATTGACAAAATTAAAAATTCAGATTCTTTTGCAATTTTCTTTGAATTTTAATATCCGACAATTTAGTAACATTATACTTACTTGGCCGTTGCCTTTAAAAATAAAGAGAGAAACATGGAGCAATTGCCCAAAGTCGCCCCTTTTTCTTTTTCTTTTTCTTTGAAACAGCAAAAAAGCACTTCATTTATAATAAACAAGCAACAATACATTGACATCAAATAATAAAAGCAAAGGATGCCGAGAACGTCATAGCAAAGATATAACAAAAATGCTATAGCTCCATTATGTTTACAAACCAAACTAGCAAATTCATTTTTTTTAAAAAAGAAAAGAAAAATCACAAGCAACCTAATAAGATGTCCACAATAAATCCATAAATTCTACAATTTGAAATTATCAATTTATGTAACTATTGTAGTTATGTTACACACAAGGTATATATTTAAAATTAGGAATCACATGTATATATTCAAAATTCAAAGAAAGAAGTCTAAGAATCATATTCTATAAGTACTCTCCACATAAATTTTCATATCCTCAAGAGTTATGAACTTGTTCAAATAATAAACCAAACCCTATTTGTGATCTTCAAGCATATAAGTCTATATATATTGGGATTGAGAAGAGAAACCTTTATAGCGACACTTGTTGAGAAGAGCAGCAACAACTTTGAGGCAGACAACGTTGTCATCAACCACAAGAACACTCAAACCCTCCGGAAAGTTGGCATTCACTCTGCTTTGCGTTGGTGCCGCCCGGTTTAGACTCACATGAACAACCTCTTTTTTTGACATAATGAAAACACTTTTATTATTATTATTCGAAGAAAGAGAATATCTTCACCAAGATATATGTAATTTGAAAAGTGGGTTTTATTTTGGTTCTCTTAGGATATCACTAGGATTTTCTCTGGAAAATCAAGTACTCCATGAAAAAGTTTATGAAGAGGGAAAGCAAATTTAAGAGAGAAAAATCACTAAAACGTTACATAATAATTAAAACGTTACTAAAACGTTACATAATAATTAAAATGTTACTAAAACGTTCCATGAGGGGAAACCAAAAGCAGCAATTATTGAGTTTCCATAAGTGGAGTTTGCTTTTTATACAAGTAACACGTTTGTGAACTTGATTTTTTTTATTTTTATTTTTTTTTGACAAATTACTCCGGTGGTTCTTCTAAATTTATTTGCATAAATTTTGATCTTAAATTTTTCATATAGTGTCAATCTAATCCGATTGGTAATGTTATTTTAGAAATTGAACTAAAATTGATGATCATGATGGTTATTTAGTATTCCTATAATAATTGAGAGGTTACTATATAATTTAAAAATAATCTATTTTGAATTGAATACTTTATCATTGATTTTTGTCAAAATTCTTAACTAATATTATCAATTCAATTAAATTAAGACTATAAAAAAATTAAAGAGTAAAATTGATACAATTACAATCGCAAAAACTAAATTGACATAAAAATTGATTAAAATTTCAATACATCAATTACTTCATTACAAATATTGACGTGTAAGCCCTGGGCAGAGGTGGGCGCCACATACAACACTGTGGTGTTAATTGAGCTCATTCACCTTTAAAATGTTACTACTCCTTCTGTCCCAAAATAATGGTCCTTTTTGGAGAATCTAACTTTTTTTGGTAGTACAATTATTGCATTTGAAAAAAGTTGATTTTCCAAAATTACCCTTTGATAGTACATTTTTTGGGAATATCAATGTCATAATTTTACTTTTTATATTGTTTATTAATTTAAAAGAATGGCAAAATAGAAAATTTATATTATTTTTGTACTTGATTTTTGAAGAGGGACTAATATTTTGGGACAATGAAAAATGGAATAAGAGACTAATATTTTGGGACGAAGGGAGTAACTCTTTAATAGGGTCAATTACAGCCAGCGTCTTCAATTATTAAATCAAATCAAAACTTAAATTTCATTCACCTTTAAAACATTACTAACTCTTTAATAGGGTTAAATGAGATCATATAATGTCAATCTAATCCAATTGGTAATGTTATTTTAGATATTGAACTAAAATCGATGATCAAAATGGTTATTTACTATTCCTATAATAATTGAGAGGTTAGTATCTAATTTAAAATAATCTATTTCCTTTTGAATTGAATATTTTATCATTGATTTTTGTCAAAATTCTTAACAAATATTATCAATTCAATTAAATTAAGACTATAAAAAAATTAAAAAGTAAAATTGATACAATTACAATCGTAAAAACTAAATTGACATAAAAATTTGATTAAAATTTCAATACATCAATTACTTCATTACAAATATTGACGTGTAAGCCCTGGGCAGAGGTGGGCGCCACATACAACACTGTGGTGTTAATTGAGCTCATTCACCTTTAAAATGTTACTACTCTTTCTGTCCCAAAATAATGGTCCTTTTTGGAGAATCTAACTTTTTTTGGTAGTACAATTATTGCATTTGAAAAAAGTTGATTTTCCAAAATTACCCTTTGATAGTACATTTTTTGGGAATATCAATGTCATAATTCTACTTTTTATATTGTTTATTAATTTAAAAGAAGGGCAAAATAGAAAATTTATATTATTTTTGTACTTGATTTTTGAAGAGGGACTAATATTTTGGGACAATGAAAAATGGAATAAGAGACTAATATTTTGGGACGAAGGGAGTAACTCTTTAATAGGGTCAATTACAGCCAGCGTCTTCAATTATTAAATCAAATCAAAACTTAAATTTCATTCACCTTTAAAACATTACTAACTCTTTAATAGGGTTAAATGAGATCATATAATGTTAATCTAATCCAATTGGTAATGTTATTTTAGATATTGAACTAAAATCGATGATCAAAATGGTTATTTACTATTCCTATAATAATTGAGAGGTTAGTATCTAATTTAAAATAATCTATTTCCTTTTGAATTGAATATTTTATCATTGATTTTTGTCAAAATTCTTAACAAATATTATCAATTCAATTAAATTAGGACTATAAAAAATTAAAGAGTGAAATTGATACAATTACACACTGCAAGAAAATCAAGAATTAGCGGCGTTTTATAAACGCCGCTATAGGCTAGAAAAACGCCGCAAAAAAATAAAATGACGTTTATAAAATTCGTCGACAATGTGGCCGTCGTTGTATCTTTGTGACGTTTGAAAAATGCCACTAAAGACTTTAAGCGACGTTTTCTAAAACGCCACCATTTCTTTCATTTTTTTGAAAAAAAAAATGAAAAATCATAATTAATGATCTTTTGACTTTTGTTCAAACCAAACCACATCATCCATCACCATTCTCAAAATATATACCATAATGTGAATGAGCATTCATTTTTCAATTTCCCATAAAATAAATGAATAAATAAATAAATAAAACCCCTTTAAATACAATATGACAATACAAAATCATAAAAATAATAATATTCACTGTGCTCTCCAAATTCTCTGAAAATAACTTCATCCACAACTCTCTTCAGCTTCATCAAGTCATCAATCATCTTCACCAAAATGATGATTATATACCTGAATCATCCAATTCCTGTAACTCCTGCTGCTTTCAGGTTCTTTCTCTCTTCTAGGATCATCTTTTCAGCTTCTAAGGCGGCCAATTGCTCCTGTATTAAATTGATGATACAACACCTGAAAATTTCACTATTTTCCTAATAAATAAACAAATAATAGCATTCTTTTCCTAACAAACACCAAACCAGACGCTAAATAAATATTATCGACGGAGAGAATTAATGCTAGGAAACACTAAATACAAATTTCAGCATCTAAGAAAATCACCATTAAGACACGTGGTTGTAAAGACACGTGGTTGTAAAGCCACAGAGATGCAGGAAACCATGGCAATTGATTACTATGTTACATGGACTCTTAAAATAAAATTAAATTTCCGTGTCGAGACTTGAACAAGGTATGGAATACGTGTCTGATATTTTCCATCAGACATGTCTTACATATTTGTATTATATATATATATTGTTGTATAATTGTTACAAAAATGAGAAATTATTTTTGACATTGTATGTTACTTATAACGCTATTTTATCTTATATAGTAGTTTAAAAATATTAAAAATATGACACTTTTTTGCCAATCCGAATATGTATAAATTTGAAATTTGATGAGTCCGACCTACAAACATGCACTCACACCTCTGTATCCGAGTCCATGTAAATAGGTTGATTACAAATGAAAGAATATTCAAGAATGAAGAAGAGATCTAAGAACATAAATTGAAATGTGTACCTTAACAGTAAGAGTTCCTCTATCCTTCTTATCTTTTATTTTAAGCATATCAAGTGATGGAAGGAGTCTCACTTCAACCTCTTTTGGAGTTTTAGCTTCCAGCTCAATCAGCTTTAATTTTGCTATGCCCAATCGTTTGTCTTGCCCAACATCTTCATCGAAAACCTGTATGAAAGGATTGTGAAATTTATGTGCACACAGTCAAAGCAAATAGAAACTCTCCATTTCAAAAGAAGGGGTTGCAGCGGTAGTTACAGAAGAAGATATTAATACATCCACATATATGTAAATAAAATTGCAATGAAGAAAGAAGATGAAACAGCTGCACATGATGGATCCAAATAGTAATCCCGGCAGTCTCAACACAAATCTAGCAAGCTCTCCATATAGTAATCCCGATCGATCCAACAGCTGCACATGATGACTCCACGAGTTATTTAATTAAACATACCTATCATATTATAACGACCAGACTCAACAATTTCATCTTGCAAATAATCAAATGGGGACACAAGGAAATTAAAGCACCTGAAGAAGAGCAGTAATGAACATGTGGAATGCCTGTGTATTCTGGTCTATCAGTATTGCAACCCGGCCAAAGAAGGTTACCACACCTTCCAACTGCAATCATTGTAGAAAAATTTATATATATATACATTATGGCTAAGAGAAATGGCATCAGTTCCACAAGTTTGTTAGCTGATGGTTGTAGTACACCTTCAGGGAAGAATCTGTGTTAAAGAGGTATTTTGACAATAATTCTCAAACAATCAATCATATTCCTTCTACCCAAATGATAAATATGACTAAATAAAATAGAATAAAGATTGCCCAAAGGTATATTGGTTGATAATAGCCCAAATTAGTGGATAAATTAATGCAAATGATGAGTATTCCTTGGAATTATCTATCACATGCACAACAAATTGCCTGGGTATTATATTCATATTAGAAGCAAATTCAATACCATTACAGTAGCTGTCAGGAGCTGAAACTATGAGGACCAAACTTCACAATGACAAGAATGTATTAGACTATTAGTATGTCGAGTGTGATAACAAGTCATTATTACATGTCAATATTAAGAAAGCACCTTTATGCAGCAGCAACTGTTCTTGGGACCAATTGACCAAATTCTAAGCTCAATTCCCCTCAATGCTTTCTGGAGGTGGTACCAGCGTACCGCATCACGACAAAAAGATACCTAATTATTTTAATACACTAGTGGAAAGAAAACTAATCTAGAACTATATCATCACTGGCATCAGATTTATCAAACGTGATCAACCATTTTTTTTAACCAGTCTGCCCACTTATCTGGTCATGTGACAGGTCTGGCCTAACCTGAGTCAACAGATCAGTAAACTTGGAACAACTAGAGGGAAACATGCCGTAAGTCTGCCCTTTACACTGTTGTGCATTTTCTCCTCTTTATTCAATTATTCCCAATATTTGTCAATTATTCTCATAATTTCCCACCCTTTATGCAATTACCCCGGTGCAATGGCCTCCACCCACATCCCCTTGGTTCAAGCTTTTTCATAAGAGATTATTACGAGAATAATTGCATAGAGGCTCAGTATGTACACAAATTAACTTTCCAAGAATGGTCAACAAGTAAAGCACCATCCCAGTAATTTCACAAAATAGCATAGTCAAAAGTGACCTAAAGGCATGTGGATCAAAACCTCAAGAATAAGAGACTGTGTCTCCTTGTCTTCTGCAATCAGCTCAAATGTTTGATTCCAAATGGGGTTCAGGTCATTGTCAATGACCTTTGTTTTAACCTTGAACAATGGTCGAATGTACACAACAACATAAGGATTAGATTTTCCAATCATTTCCGTGTTCTTAAGATCATTTGCCTTCACTACTGTCACCGTAAGCTTTCCCTGTGGTCTAAGCTCTAGTTCACTGCATAAAAGGCACAAAGAAGTGTTAACTCCAACTTGCCATATAAAATAAAATAAAGCAAGAAAAAAGAAAAAAAGAAAAGAAAAAGTGTTATACTATCAATTCATGTGATGAACAAAACATCTAAAAATGAAAAAAATACTTGAACCTGACGATGAAAAAAGTGTGTCAATCACGATATACCATAAACAATGCAAATAAATCTTGTTCTTATGGTGCAAATCATTAGCCAAGTACAACTAAGAACCCTTCTTAATTAAAATATATATATGTGTGTGTGATTACCTTGTATCTACAGCTATACCACCTATAGGCACAACAATCCTGTGAGGCCATTGAATAAGAAATCTCATACCTGAAACATATGTTATTGAATAAGAAATTTCGAAATCCAGTGTGAAGAGCGAGGAAGATAGTGAGTCATGTGTTTGAGACCAGATCTGATGGAACAATAGAGGGAGAGAGAGAAAGAGAGAGAGAGAGGACGAGACTTGAGGGGCAGTAGCGACGGGAGGACCAGACCTTAGGAGGATTACCAGAAACCCAGTATTCATGATCTCGTCTCCTCCTCTTGCTTCGACTCGACTGGTCACGGTCTCGATCCCTGTCTCGATCCCGATCCATAGTCTCGATCCTTTTTCACTCCTCAGTCTCGTAACCTCGCGTTTGTGCAACTCAACCGGTCCATCTTCCTCTGCAAAATCATCAGAATCAGAATCAGAATCAAGAAAAACAAAAAATCGTCTGGAAATTTCAACCAAATCGATTCCAGAATCGATGGATTTAGAATTAAATCTGACCAAGTAATCGTAATCGAACTGGTGAATCTCTCAAGAAGCATGAGAGAGACGGAGTAAACCCTAGATCTGGGACGGAGAGAGCAAACGATAGAGAGAGAATGATAGAGACGGAAAGAGAAATGGGGAGACGAAGCACTGTTACAAAGTGAAACGCGTGTTTAACGGGTGTATTTTAATTTAACGCGTGTGTTTAACGCGTCTTTCACAACGTTTGTCCAAGAAACGTTGTCTAAGAAACGTTGTTATAGCCAGCTTTTCTTGTAGTGACAATCGCAAAAACTAAATTGACATTAAAAATTGATTAAAATTTCAATACATCAATTACTTCATTACAAATGTTGACATGTAAGCCATGGGCAAAGGTGGGCGCCACATACAATACTGTCGTGCCAATTGAGCTCATTCACCTTTAAAACGTTACTAACTCTGTAATAGGGTTAATTATAGCCAGCATTTTCAATTATTAAATCAAATCAAATCAAATCAAAACTTAAATTTCATTCACCTTTAAAATGTTACTAACTCTTTAATAGGGTTAAATGAGATAATATAATGTCAATCTAATCCGATTGGTAATGTTATTTTAGAAATTGAACTAAAATCGATGATCAAAATGGTTATTTACTATTCCTATAATAATTGAGAGGTTAGTATCTAATTTAAAATAATCTATTTCCTTTTGAATTGAATATTTTATCATTGATTTTTGTCAAAATTCTTAAGTCGGTCTCTCCTCATACGAGGCATCCCCATCTTTCTCAAAGTCGGTCCAATCCAACACGCGAGATGGATCCGGCTCATACTTCCAAAGAATACTAATATGAAACATGTCATGCACTTCGGATAGTTGTGGCGGTAACACCAAATGGTAAGCAACCTCCCAAATTCGCTCAAGGATCTCAAAAGGGCCAATAAATCGAGGGGATAGTTTCCCACTCTTCCCAAATCTCATCAAACCCCACCTAGGTGATATTTTCAAGAACATATGGTCTCCCACCTCAAAACACAAGGGTCTCCTCCTACGGTCAGTACAACTTTTCTTGTCATGACCCGAACCCGCCCCCATAGGTTAAGGACATAACCGGCCAGTAATCATGAGATTACCTACGGCCTCAAACCAAACCAAAAGGATTTTAACAGAGTTGACGGGGGCCAAACGGAAGCAATTTAAAACTTTGTCCATAGAGCTGTGCTTACATGGCACATTATGACAAACCATCCATATGCCTATTAATAACTCACAGCGAAATATGTACTACATAAGGTTCTGTACATATAGGATCATATAAGTCTAAGTCAACCCATCACGGCTATATACAACGTATGCAAACTCTTCGCCAATATGACAAAATATAAATACATAACAAAAGGGCGAAGACGGGTCTCGTGCGTGCGACACAAGGTTGACTCTCTCAAAACCTTTATTGTTCCACATAGACTTCACTAGGGCTGGGTTTGGACTTCTCTGGGCTCACCTACAAACACATGAATGAGCATGAGCGATAGCCCAGTGAATAATATCAAATACAGAAGTTATACAAACAATATGTAGAACAACATGCATCAAATGGCCTTGGACCCAATTCATATTTCTATTTAACATATATACACAATTTAGGTCGAGTGACTGCGGTTCCGAATAAACTGGCCTTTGGCCCTTTTAAACTTTCATGTGTGTCAAAACGGCCTTTGGCCCATTCAGATGACAAACTGGCCTTTGGCCCATTCATTCGTTCATGTCGAAACGGCCTCTGGCCCATTCATTCTTGCCAAAACAGCCTCCGGCCCATTCTTTTATGTCAAAACGGCCTCCGGTCGTTCATTCATGTTAAAACGGCCTCTGATCCATTCATTCATGTTAAAACGGCCTTCGGTCCATTCATTTGGTATAGCAAACATTGTCCACCAATCGAATCAATGAACTTATAGAGCTTATGTAGAAGTAAGCAATTGGACAACAACATATTTCAGATATCTTTGTTAAGATATTACTCACAGTGATCGGTTGGTTGGTTTGCCCTCGAGCTCGACCCTACACATTCCATGAACACAAAAGGGTCACAAACAATTCGATCCGTTCTAAATTCACATTTTCCTCTTTAGGCTTCATTCTTATCTCTTTAACACAATTACAATGGTCAATGCATGCCTAAGAGTACTTGGAAGTGAAAGAGAATAGACAATGAAACACAGAATGTCTTTTCAAAATTTCAGAAAATAGGGTCCCCGCTCTAGCGTAGACTTCCCCACTCGAGCGTACCCTTGAGGCCTGCAAAAGTACTGGATGCATCAAAATTACGCTCGAACGTGAGGTCTGGCACTCGAGCTGAAGGTCTGTCTAAATAGTTCCCCGCTCGAGCGGACATCCAAGTCTGCAGAAATACTGGGAGCATGAAATTCAGGCTCGAGCGGCGGTTTCCCCGCTCGAGCGGACATCAAATTTTATGGTTTTTCCAGAACATGTTCTCGAGCTCTAAATCGACATTCAACCAACATTTCTTGCATGCAATAGCTCAAACTTCAAATACACTTGTACTAACATGGTATAAACCCCAAATTACAACCCAATGAAGCTCAATTTCACAAATAAATCACATGCATGTCCCAATCTTTCATCAAACTCATTCTAACATAACAAATTCATGCATTCAAGCTCATATTCTCATGAATTGTACATGCATGTGCTATATAACCCTTACTCTCAACTTAGATGATGGAGAGGTGATCAAAACATGAGCTTCAACTACAAACTTACATGGATCATACCCTTTGTGCTCAAACATACAATATTCAAAGCAATTACACACATGCATGCATACATTGACCTTCAATTCAACATAATAACTCAATTTCATTTCAATTCTGACTCTTGATTACCCAACTAGCTTGTATACACAAAATTACAAACTAGAATCCATGAAATACTCACCTAGGAGCTTTAATCCCCATAATCTATAGCAAATTCTTGAGTAATCTTCAAGGTTTTCAAGCTTTGAGATCAAACTTCAACTCTCTCTCTCTCTAGCCGACCCTCACTCTCCTTCCTTAGAGCAATTCGACTCAAACAAACAAGAAAGAGGAATTGACCTTCAATTCAACATAATAACTCGATTTCATTTCAATTCTTACTCTTGATTACCCAACTAGCTTGTATACACAAAATTACAAACTAGAATCCATGAAATACTCACCTAGGAGCTTTAATTCCCATAATCTATAGCAAATTCTTGAGTAATCTTCAAGGTTTTCAAGCTTTGAGATCAAACTTCAACTCTCTCTCTCTCTCTCTCTAGCCGACCCTCACTCTCCTTCCTTAGAGCAATTCGGCTCAAACAAACAAGAAAGAGGAATTGAGTGTGTGTAGTGCCCCTCTTTAAGTCCCACTAGTCACAATTATTTCCATATAAGATATTTGGGGCACTAATTCATCAATTTAATCTGAACGGAATCAATTTCAATTAAATTTCACCGTGGACTCTAAAAATTATGCCAATCACAATGGCTCAATTAATTTCGGTTTCTATGGCCGATGAGGCCTTCAATTAAATTTCCAAAGCAGATAATCAAACAGACATTCCTACGGTGAACAGATAGAAATTCAAAACCACATATTTTCACATATTGGCACACAAAATCATATTAAACACATAATCATACTCATATTAAGGACCAATTAACATATTACGGAACAGGGATATCACAGTCTTCCCCCTTTAGGAAGGTTGGTTCTCTAAACTTATTTTACCGTCGTCGGGAAACAAATGTGGATAGCATAGTCGTATTTCCTCCTCTTTTTCCCATGTAGCATCCATCCCATAATGTTCTTTCAATTCCACTTTCACCATTGGGATGGACTTGCTTCTCAATTGTTTCACTTGCTGATCAACAATTCGTTCCGGCCATTCGGCATATTCCATATTTTCATCAATAGTTACCCAGTGATAATCAATCACATGAAACGGGTCTCAGAGGTAACCCTCAACATCGACACATGAAACACGTTATGGATTTGTTCGAATCCCGGTGGCAAAGCAACTCTATAGGCAACTGGGCCAAGCCTTTCCAGAATCTGAAACGGCCTAATGTAACGGGGGGACAACTTGCCCTTCTTTCCAAACCTGACTTGGCCTTTCATCGGAGATACACGGATGAACACATGGTCACCAACCTCATACTCAAGTGGTCTTCTCCGAACATCTGCATAATTCTTTTGTCGATCCTGAGCTGTTTTGAGCCTTTGCCGAATGATCTTGATTTTCTCAGAAGTGTCTTGCACAATTTTAGGCCCAAGTAAAGCTCTATCCCCGACTTCTGTCCAACAAATAGGTGATCTACACCTTCTAGCATACAAAGCCTCGTATGGTGCCATACCGATGCAGGAGTGGAAGCTGTTATTGTATGCAGACTCTGTAAGTGGCAAATAATCTTCCTAACTCCCCTGAAAGTCTAAAGCACACATCCAAAGCATATCTTCCAAAGTCTGTATTGTTCGTTCTGATTGCCCATCGGTCTATGGGTGGAATGCAGTACTGAATCTTAGTTCTATCCCCATAGC